ACACACACACACACACACTCCTGGGCTGTCACTTCCAGCGTCGTTGTTGACTGACAGGACCATCTGTCTCTGGAGAGGAACTGCTGCCTCGAGGTGTGTGTATCTGTGTGTGTGTGTGTGTGTGTGTGTGTGTATCTGAGTGTGAATGTGTGTGTGTGTGTGTGTGTGTGTGTCTGGAGACATCCTTCACCTTTTCCCTCACAGTTAGTGTAGAAAACACAGCGTGAAAAGAATGTCAACAATTCCCCAAAATCGCAGCGATTCTCTACCAGCTGGCATTTTTGTTTCTCCGACACTACATTTCCCATCAGCCCTTGTTAACCTCCATTTACTGTCTCCCTCCTCTTTGTGGAGGGTCAACATGTCAGAGGTGACACAGCAGGTTTATTCCCAATAATAAGATTATCCCTTTTACCTCCGATCACTATCTCACCATCACATTTAGCTGTTAACTAATCACCGAAGTATGAGCTCTACGATCATGAACCTGACTATGCAGCAGGTTGATATTTAAAATGATATCTCTGCAATAGTTTAGTGTTTTTATTAAAACTATTGTTGTATTTTGATAGTACTGTTTGTTTTTTAAATAAATGTATTTATATAGAAATACATATATATTTTAGAGCCTCGTCTGCGTACCACCAGTAGTACCATACTTTAAGAAACAGTGCTCTAGAAGAACAGTGCTCCCTGTTAGTGCTGCCAAAAAGTGAACAAACTAATAGTTTGGACCGATGGTTCAACTCATACCGGATCTTCACTCATCATATTCTTGCACTCTGAGTCCGACGTTTCCACCTCTTGACTTTTATATCAAACTAACTGCCAGTGATAAAAATGGTATCAGTACTGAGTCCTACAAACCCGTACAGCTGCTGATACCAGCTCTCATACATGCTTGCTGTACACCAGCTAAGGGCACGGCAGTTACTTTCAATGTAATGAATCACTAAGGTCGGTCAGAAACTTGTTCACTGAATCGTTCAGCGCTCGACCAGAGCTCCGAGGATTTATTTGGATAAAGACAGTTCGCATCTCAAGTGCTAACCTATTGCTATCAAGAACTACGCTACTGAACGCCGAGGCAACATAACAGAAACTGTACGTTCTCTACAATGCAGTCAAAGGGAATTTCTTTCCAATCCCAATTTACAACCAATCCCCTACACCAGGGATCAGCAACCTTTACTATCAAAGAAGACGTTTTTAGCAACAAAAACAAGAACCACAACAAATATTTGAGCCTTATAATTATAATCACGCCACAGATTGAACAAACCGATAAACCAGCAGCATCCATGCACTATTAAATACTTTTCTTCAGAGACCGGTAGCCACTGCTGTTGAAGTTTGGTAAAATATATAGGAAAAGACGCCAGGTCAGGACATAACGTATGACGCAAACGTTTTAGTTGATGTTAATTTAATTCAGCGTGTAATGGCTGTAAATTGGTTGTAGGATTCCTTTGGATCTAAAGACCTGCAAAGATTTGGTAAATTAACCAGGTGATGTTTCAAAAAGTTGTTTTTACATACAACAACAACAACAACGTTTTGTGCAACAACTTATTGAACCAAAACTGAAGGATTACCATGGCTACCACTGCATGTGTTGAATCAGCGTCTCACCTTGCATCTGGCCGATAGTCAGATCTCTGTCCAGCCGGTTGATTCCTGGAAACAGAATCAGTGTCAGGTGACAGTGTGAAATTATTTATTATTATTTATTTACAGTATCAGGAACCATTTTACTCCAGCGTTTTACCGTATTAGGACTTACAAATGTTTTTAAAGACCTACCGGACAACAGCAGGAGTTTGGGCAGGTTGCAAGCCAGGAAGAGGTTAGATGTTCCTCTAAACCAGCCGTCCCAATACTTTTCTGACTTCGACAGGTCTATACGCCACTTGTACACACCCTGGCAGGTATACACAGATACACAGCGTGGTTGGTTAATAATCTTTGTTAATTTACAGGTAATAGCAGGAGGAAAACATTAAGACATTCATGCTGGAATTAAAAGAGTTAAATTGAGTTATACTGGATACCTGTGTTAGGGGTGAGTGGGGAAAGTCAATGGACTCACCAGTCAAATCAAGTTTTATTATATATGTTAATATATAATGTGTGCAATTTTGTGTTTTTTTGTGGGTTTGGTTAGGTTTACATTTTTGGAGATTAATGGAAATCAATGGAAGTGCTGTTATACATATTTTTATAGGTGTGTTTGCATTTAGAAGTTTAGAGCTGAATGGAAGTCAATGGTAAGACAAAGCAAATCTGCTCAAATGTTTAAGGTTTAACTTTGAAAATGAATGTAAGTCAGTGATGTCCTTGCAAGTATAAATGAAACGTTTCTGCACAGGTATTTGTGTGTGAGTTGATGTAAAAGTTTGAGGCTCCATAATGAATGCAAATCAATGGATTGGTGTCACAACACATTCATTATGACATCTCGATAAAATAAGTGTTTTGGTAATGAATATAATACATCACTGAAAGCATGAAACACACATTATAACACAAAAGATTGACATCAAGGGTTAATGATGAAGGTGAAAGTAGGATACTTGGTAATGAATGCAAGTCAATGAAACATTACTTTACCATAAGTGTTTCTGTGTGGTCGTTTTCATACCTGGCCTTCGTTGAGGCTCACCTCTGAGGCAGCGTTTTCTTTGTCGCTGACGTAGCTCTGATCGTAGAACTCTTCGTTACGCTCAACGACAACGTCAGTCACCAGGGTGGCCTGCTCCACAGTGTCGGCCTCCTCCACCTCACACCTAATGTAACATAGTTTACTCAGGTAGACGTAGAACAAAACAATTATCTGTGATCTACTTCCAAACTGGAAGCCAGGATGATCAATATCCAACCTACCTTTTGATCTGACCAGCCATCGAGACTCTGGCAGATTCCAGGTTCCTGATTTGCCCACTCTTGACACTGAACGAAGAACAAGGAGTCTTCAGTTAATTCAACGTTATTCAATGCTGACTTCTTTGTGAGTGCAGCCAGTGTTTGAAGGTGCTGGTTGTGATTAAGATAGAGGTCAAGACGTTTCTGAATCAAACTATAGAATAAGTCTGAGACAGATTTGTTGGGTACAAGTTGACAATGATACATTTTGTTATATTTTTCCCCCCATTCTGTAAATTATCTTGTGGCAGCCTCTGACGTACTGGTTTCAAACTGACCCCATTTACACTTTGTCACTTCCTGCCTCTTGGACATATCAAATAGGGGCGGATTGAAATCTGATTGCTCAAACAACCCTCGGCTGGTGTGATTCTAATTAGAAGTTGAAAAGGTGTAATCTCTTCGAGCTTTACTCCTTCAAAGTATAATTATTTCTTGCAGTCTGTGGTGGGAATAACGACACATAAAGTCTGTCCTGTGATAACAGCAGCTAAAGATACTGAAATTAGCTGTTGTTTTTCCAGTTGACTGAGACAGATAGAAGAGCATCTATCTGATTTATGAGATCCCTGATCAGTTTGACCATTGAATGATCTGTATAGGTGACAGAGCAGCTTTAGTAAGAGCTTGTGAAGCAATAAAACTCGTAGCTCGCTTGCTATGACATAATTGTTGTACCTAAACTGCTAAATTTAAAGTTATTCTTCTTGACTCTTTGGCTGTTAGCAGTCAGGTGTTTTACCACCATCCTCTGGACTTGAGTAGTGCCGACCCTGTAAATGAAAGTGCATCAGATTTCATCTGTATTTTGTTAGGACACTTGAAATAAGTGTAAATTGGGCCTTAAAGTGTAGTCATAATAATCAATCAACTGATTATCTGGAGGAGGTGTTTTGTATTTTTTACTGTCAAATGTTTAGTCTTGCAAAATGTTTTCATCACTGTTGTGAATAAATGAGGACTCTGGTTTCTGAAAGAAATTATGTCTTGCACGAGTTTGGGGCAGAAACCGACAATATAAAGGAATGAAAGGATTAAAAGTCCATCAGTTTGCACAACAAACACAAAGACAGGAGAGGGACAATGGCTGAAAGCAACCGAGATCTTAATCCGCTCCTCTGAAACAAAGGTAGTAAGAATAATGAATCCACAAGTTCTGGAGAAACTGATGAAACAACTTTTGTTAAAGAGGAATCTTGGAAGAACAAACAAAGCCGATTTGTAGGAGTTTTAGACTACAAGGAATGCTCACCTCCACTCTATAGCGTGGTCCATTGACTTGAAGGACTTGGGTCTTCCCTTCAGGAAGTTCTGTATGATGTGGAGCGCCTCCATCGCACTGCCTGCAGGAAGGAAAGTAGACAAGTCAAGTATTTGTGAACGAAAGAAGTGTATGCCTCTACCACTCACACTCTTACACCCTTACCTTCCACCACGTCTATTGCCACCAGGCCCACGGTGGTCGGTAGCAGCATGTTGCTGGCTGTATGCACTGCGATCGCCCCACCGACGCCATGGCCAATCAGGATGATGGGGGGAGGAGTCTCACCATAGCAGGATCGAATCACATTGGCTATATCGCTGAGGAGGGTGATGGATCAGGATTTGTAGCATCATTAGTCGTAGTAGAACAGTAATCTTTCGCTTGCTTGTTAATTTGAGGTAAAAGGATTACTGAAAGCTTGAAGTTTGTGAGTTTGAACTGTTACCTGGACATAGTTTGAGTTGAGAAGTCATCTGATTGGCGAACCAGAGTCCCACCTTAACAGAGAACAAATTCTCACAATAATGCAACTCAAAGTGGTTCTCACTGATAAACAGCTAAAAATAAGCGTTAAAACCAGACACTGAAAGATAAAAATGTATTTAATGTTATGTTATTTACAGAAATTTGATTTACAGAAAACAATTGAAATAAAGTTCCTCCAAGAAGTTGCGATTGTAACAATCATGTAAGTTTAGCCAGTTCCTGTTAATTCTTGCAATTGTGTCCAATAACCGCAACTTTTACCCAAATTTGACCAATCACTGTAATTTCCCATGAGTTTCACCAATCATAACCAATCATCCCCCCGTGCAAGACGTTGAGCCATATGTTAACAAATTACTACCGACTATTGCAGTTCTCACTTCATTGCCAAAAAAAGACCCAAAACGTCGGAACATGCATCTAAATTTTTTTTGAAAATCTGCAGTGAAATCAGTCATTTTAGCCCTCAACAATCCTGTAAAGATTTACATGAACAGATTTCAACAACAACAAAAAAAACCACTGATACCAGCTCAACAACCCAACTCATTTGGATAAACGTTAATACTCGAGAGATGACAGAAAGCTTTTATTCTTTATATTGCCTCACCGTGACCCCTGAGGTCCATGGCGAGTACTCTGCAGGTCGCTCTGCTGGCGATGGCTGTCTGGAACACAGAAAAACACCATGACAATCTGCTGGTATTCAGGATGCAGCCGCCATCAATCAGTCGAGCAGTAAGTCATTTTATCAACCAGCTGTACAGATACTCACGGTGAAGACGGCCCAGGACAGCGCGGAGTGGCCTCCTCCGTGCAGCAGAACCAGCAGCGGTCCATCGCTTCCGGCTTTATAAATCCTGAACACGTCCCTGCTGTCGGCCGGCCCCACGTTCACGTCCTCCATCTGGTCGAAATACTCCCGCCAGGACACCGGCGAGTAGTCAGGTTTACCGCTGACCTCACTGGTCGACATGTAGACACACAGAAAAACGCACACTTTATACTACCCACACAAACTGTATCATTTGTCAGTGGTGTAAGTGGTCATTACATTTTCAATTAGTAGTAGAGCATAATGCTACATAACTTCAGCTTCTTCCTGTCGGTCAGTCTAACGTTTTTAAGCTAATTTATAATGATTGAACGAGTGATTGAGGAACTGAATGAGGAACTGCTAGCAGATGTTGCATTGTGTATGGCAAGTAGATCCCCAATGGTGTGTGCTAATCAAAAAGAAGCAAGCAAAACTTTGAAGAAATGCATAGCGACTGCCCTCTATTGGTTGAAATCGGCTATTGCAGCTTAATTTTGCTATTGGCTGATTTGAAGGCACCCTGCTTATATGAGACCAACGTCTTGACTCTGCAGACGGTGGCCTAGCGAAATAGCCTAACCGACACCAGCGAGTTTGCCTCTTTGAGCTGCTGGCTTAGCTAACATTACTAAAGTACCACACAGAAACTTTTACAAAAGGCTATGAATGTGCTTCTAGTGACTCTCAAAGCTCCAGCGGACTCTGCAGCAGAGTAGGGCGGGTCATGGCTTCGACTTAGTAGGATAGGTAGCTAGCAAAATTTAGGAGTTTAGTTACACTTGAAATAGCATTTGTTCTAGAAACAGGAGCGCATTCGGTAAAGTTACAGCTTCTAGACATTTTTATGACAAGCAAGTAGCACAAAATGACTCCGGCGTTGGCAATATGTGTTGTGAATCAAAGTGCTAAGCTAACTGTGTTTCTTTTGTTTGGAAGAAGTCACTTGAATTTGTTTTTGGTTCCTATTGAGAAAGAAAAAGTCACAAAATTACACAAATTGTTGACAGCTTGTCCTACAAAAAACCTGATTTCCTAAATGAAAAACGTTTTCATTTAAGAGAAGGGAGATAAATGGAAGCAGTTTTATGCCTTTAATTGGAAACTTGAACATTAATTCACCTTTTATTTAAATCCTGTGTTTGTATGTGAGTGCACAGATTCTGTCAATAATGTGTGAACATCAGATAAAAAGTGTTTTAGAGAGGTGACTTACTGTTCTGTATCAAAGTTCTCCTCCCACATGCTGCGTCTCTGTAGGAAGAAGTCCAAATAACAGCTGCTTATCTTCAATCTGCTGCGTATATATTTATATATATTTATATTTATATATCTGTGTGTGTGTGTCAGCAGGTTTTCCCTTAATAAGCACTACACAGCATAAAGAGCTGCTCCTCTTCCTGTCTGCTGACGTCCATCGACTAAATAACAACTGCTGGTGTTAAGTGCAAACACACTATAGGACAATACCTAGTCAGCTGTTGTTGTCAGGTAGCATCGCTGCCGCAGCGTCCGATTGGCTGAGGCGAACAAACGGAGTCAAGAGTCAAAACATTTTCTTTCTTAAATGTGTCTGTGTCTGTAGAGGCTTCGGTTACGTCATTAATCAGCCTCAGTTAGTGACATGTCGGCAGAGCTTTTTCTGGTAGTTTCTGGTAGTTGATGGTGTGCAGAAAGAAAAGCACAGAAAACAAACTGGAAAAGCAATTTAAAAACAGCACAAAATTATTCTCTATGTCATTATGATGAGAAACTTTCTCATTATAATGACTTACAGAAGGTTTTTCCCCCTCATATTGGCAGAAATGGGCTTCCATACTTCTCAGTGTTGCCGTGATTCATTCTCTGGCTTTTTCTTTAATAATTATGGATAAATTGTGTCCCCATCATTAATGTTATTATTTAATTAATTTAAAATTTATTGAATAAAATGTTAATGATGGCATTGTCTTGCTCAGATGTTCCAGCAAAAACTACAAACATCCATTAATTTTATGTAATCAATTCTCAATATACCCTTTTATAATAAAAACAATTCACTTCTTGACATGTTTTCTACTTATAGAAAACATGTCCTTGATTTTAAAGCGTGCTAGACTTAATATCTCAGCATTTAATTATTACGCTCTGAGCTGCATGCTGGAAGACATTTTTACACGTAAACTCAAAACTGACCTCTTCAGCCTGAATTTTAACTCAGGAATTATCTTTATTTACTATTTTTTACTTATTTATTGAATTGTATATTCTAAATTTCACTGTTAAAGTATTGCTTATTATCTATGAATATATGTATGCTTCTTGTTTTATTTGGTTGTTTTTTATGCCTGTTTTCTTAAAGCATAATATTTACTTTTCAGTATAACTTTTATTAAACACTATTGTTACACATCTACTTGTCGACTGTATTTTATTGTAATTTTTATCACTGTATTGTATTTTTTAATCTACCTTATTTAATTTATTAAAATTATTTATAGAAAATCAATTTTGTCTCATTATTGTCCGGTAAGTCGTGAAACACTTTGAACTGAACTAAATTGTATGAAAGGTGCAATACAAATAAAGTTTGATTGATTAAATAAATTAATATATGGAAATGTAAAGTAAATTTGGCCGAACTTCAGGGACAAGAAAACACTGAATTTGTCAAAAAAAGAAGCGTATTAAGTCTGTATGATTGTTAAAAATAATAAAAAAATAGATAAAACAGACTTGTATAAAAAGTTCCCTAAAACAGTAAAATAATCTTCTCAAAATTCATCCAAATCACTTTTACACAAACTTCCTGCAGTTACTGACTTCACTGTTTGGGTTCATTGTACAGTTTTTAATATAATATTAAATATCCATAAAATATGTAACTGAGTCAGTTTATTAAATGATAGAAAACGGTTGCTGTACAGAAGATTTATTTTATTATTCCTTTTACACAAAAGAGGAAAAGTTTCAGGTTTTAACCATTAAAACATCACGCTTGTTTTATAATATGTGTATTTGACGAGAGAAAGTACACACGCACACACACACACACACACACACACCCTCAGGTGGCAGTGACAGACAGTTATAGTATCCAGGTAACCAGCAGTGTGCTGTTGTGAATAAATGAGACTAAATGTCATTCAGAAAAAAAAAACAGACCTCTGTGTTACAGTTCAGTACATAATGAAAGTTAGTGTAACAATAATCACTTTTAATAAAATAATGTATTTATTCATTTATATGTAAATCAGTTGGCAGAAGAATAAAAATATCTTCAGATTCTACATAAGAAAATACAATTTCTGTTTTAGGCAAGAATAAAGCATTAAACCAGTGATACTACATTTCCCACAATGCAAGTTGACAGAGTCTTTCCAGTGATGGAAGAAGTACTACAGGGTGCTTTTAATACCACCAATGAGAAGATTTGATTGAATGAAATAGTTATTTTAAATGTCTGCCACCGGGTCGGATTCCCCTTGAAATCAATTAAACAAGGTTGTGGAAACAATCGCGCCTTTCTCTACAGGGGGCGCCAAAATCAACACAAAATGGAAGTTGTTGTTTTATGTACATATACCAGAGTGTAAAAACAATCCACTAAAAAAGTGAATGAATTCAAAATCCATCATATAACAACAAAATGTACTTAAAGTATTAAACGTTAAAGCGAATACCCCCTATGAATTATACATTATTATACATTTATTATTGTTTTTTATATTTTATATATTTCTGGTGCTTTTTGTCCTGTGTGAGCGAATTTGTTATTTATTAGTTCTCTATTATACGCACAATGTAGTTTACTTTAGCTTGTTATAAACTATTTAAATAATTAATCTATTTATTTTAAGCGGAAATTTGGCTTCAGAACCAAAACTGCAGGTTCAGGCTTGCACATAATTATTTTGGGGGCTTTAAACCAGTGGTGCCCAACTTGGGGGTCGAGATCCCTACTAGGGGCCACTAAAGCTTCACAGTGGGTTGTGGGGCCTTCTTGATTTTAAGGCTTGTAAGAAAACTTAAAAATATACACAGTAGACCTTTATCTCAGTATTTAGTTCACTTCTGTGAAGAAAAGTAAATTGTCTAATAGAACAATGACCAAACGTCAGAGTCAAAAAAACATTGAATTTGTCAAAAAAGAAGCTCATTAAGTTCGTATGATTGTTAAAAATGAATACAGTCCCCTAAACAAAAAATAATCTGCTAAAAATTCATCCAAATCACTCGCTATACACAAACTTGTTGCAGTTACTGAGTTCCTTGTACAGTTGAACCTTTACTAAATTAAGCTTGGGCTTCCACTCAGGAGGTGTGTGCGCTCAGTGGGACTTTCAGTGGTGTTCAGAGCCCGCTGTACGTTCTGCCAGAAGACTCCGGTGTGCTGACCGGCTTGTGGCCAGCTCAGGTAGGTGCGCCTCTTCACCAGACTCCTCATGTGGTAGTACGGAGACAGCTGCCGGGCCGGGATCTCCTCCAGAAACAGCAGGATCAACACGTCCTTCTGCTCGTCGAACAGACGGTAGCTGCAGACACCGACACACCGGATTTTTGTTTGAGATTTTGATGTTTGAGAACGAGTGAGATAACGGCATTAAGTGTACGAACCTGGCCATCTGGATCTCTCTGGTGCACCACTCGCTCTGCAGGTAGTGCCGGCTGATCACGCAGATGGTCTTCCTGCTGCCGTAGATGGCGTCTGTAATGTTGTTTACGATGGGTTTACCTGTGAAAATAACATATACATAACAAATAATAACAGACTCTTTAAAATAATGAAAATGATTTAAACAATGGCAGATAAACACTAAAATGTGTTTGTGAACAGATGAGGAGAGAAATAGTCAACCCAGTGACAGAATCTGGATCCATAATGATCAGCACTGCCTAGTTTGACAGTTTGATCTGAGTTTGGTGCGTTGAGCTGGACGGACTCTGAGAATGAGCTGTCAATCACAAGGTAGCCCGCCTAAAGCATACCTGCTTTTTTATGGTCTGTTTTACTCTAATGGGACCATCATTTACTAAATGAACATCATGCTGTATGGAAGAAGACTGAAACTAGAGACTGAGACCAGAAACTCATCAGGAAACCGTTTACCGAGCTCATAAATCAACTGAGAAATTGGCTCATTTCTCTATAAGACTATTGGACATCTTTCTTGCAGCCCATGTAGCTGCCCCCTGCTGGCCATTAGAAAGAATACAGGTTTAAGACACTTGAACGTTGGCTTCACAACCATCTCATTTATTTTGGTTCACATCCTCTGAAGAAGCCCAGTCTGTCTGACTAATTCTACTAATAACCCAACTGAACCAGCAGTCAATCAGTTTTTAATTCAGCGAATTACTACAAGACAAATAGATGCAGCATGAGGTTTTTGTAGACATCTCCACTTACCACACTGGGAAGTTATTCGATGAAACAAAGTGTGAACTGAGCACCCGATTTCTGTCAGTAACAATATGAAGTTCTGATTGGTCCTAAAGAGGATGTGAAAACTGATACACGCCACCTCGCTGGCTGCTGATATATTTAATCGACAAACATGTCTCTTCATCTGACCTTCATCAGATATATGGGCAGCATCACAACACTTTGCATATACACACACAAGAGCTGCATTTATCATCCAATCTGAGGACTATAGAGAGTAGTTTGAACTTAATTAAAGCTTATGTTCACTTATTCTTTGTTATAATTTTCTGTTAGTTTTGCAGATGTAAGTGCGCACACGTGGGCAGGTGAGAACAATGAAGTCAATGTAAGTGCGCACACGTGGGCAGGTGAGAATAATGAAGTCAATAGGAAACTATTCGGCAAAAGGGGATGTGAAACTCTTGTTGTGAATGCAGCTTCTTTAAAAAGAGAGGAAACAGAGACGAAAAGGACAAAATGATGTTCATGACAAATTCAGAAAGAGTTTAAAGTAGGGGCGTCACAATGCTAGAATACCTGTGAAATGCCACACTTATCAGTAACACAAGTTGATATCACAGTTTCTTCAGAGTTTATCATTCAGGAAGTTTCTATCTTTGGGAACCAAAACTGGTAAAAACACTGAATAAAGCAATTTCACTTCATGACCACCTGGGCACCCTGGTGGTCATAATGTTCTGCAGTCCCAGACGAACAGACTGCTCTGCACTGTGTGTTCTGACACCTTTCTATTCAAACCAGCATTAACTGGTTGTTTGAGCAGTTTGAGCTACAGTAGCTTGTCTGTTGGATCGGACCACACAGGCCAGCCTTTACTCCCCACATGCATCAATGAGTCTTGGCCGCCAGTGAACCTGTCTCCAGTTCCTTTCCTTCCTTGGACCACTTTTGATAGGTACTAACCTCTGCAGACCAGGAACACCCCATAAGAGCTGCAGCTTTGGAGATGCTCTGACCCAGTCGTCCATCACGATGTGGCCCTTGTCAAATCACTCAGATCGTCACGCTGCGCATTTTTCCTGTTTCTAACACATCAACTTTGAGGACAATGTTCACTTGCTGCCTGATATATCCCCCCCATCACAGGAGCCCTGATAACCAGATAATCAGTCATTCACTTCACCTGTAAGTGCTCAGAATAAGCTTTGTGTTTGTAGACATTTTATTGCGGAAATGTTACATATTTTAGCTCTAACAGCAAACTAACTAGCTAACTACTACTAATTTTCCGATACCCGCGGCACTGTAGAAAAACAGGTACCGTTGGGTTTGCAGACTTTTAGCATCAACATGGCACTGAAGTATTTGCATTGTGACATCCCTAGTTTAAAGACAAACAGATGTTTATACCTGGTTCAAAGTTCCTGTGGTGCAGACAGAGTCTCCAGCCTTGCTCCCCCTCCAGCACTGGAAGCATCTCTCTGTAGACCCAGGCCTCATCGTTAACATTGTAGGAGACAAAAGCATCGTAGAGGGAAGGAGTGCCCTTCCTTCTCCTCTTCTTATCGTAGAGGAAGGCCAAGAAGAGGTAGTAGGCATAAACTAGGTGCCACCTCAGGAAGTGGTACATGAAGGATGCAAGCAGGGTAAGCAAGATCAGACAAGTGCTGGAAATGAAGCAGAGGAAGCTAGTGTCTATCCAGCAGGAGTGGATGTCAAAGTCCAGGAAGTTGTCTCCTTGTAGGCTCACAGGAAAGGTGCAAGTATACTGGTGGCCATTGACAACCTGTGTCTGGTTGTTGCTCTGCACCCATTGGTTAAAGCCAGAATTAGAGCATTCGCATGTTAAAGGGTTGCCACTTAGGTCCAGATATGTCAAGGCATGGAGGGATTGGAAGACTGTCTCGTTGATGACCGACAACGCATTCTTGGTGAGTTTTAGCCAGCTGAGCCCCGGCAGATTGGCGCCAGCCAGGAAATCCAAAGACCTGAATTTATTGTTGGAAAGATCGAGTTCCCGCAGGTTTGGGATTGGCCAAAACAGTTCAGGGCTTAAATCTGACAGATCACTGTGGATTATCTGAAGAACCTTCAGTTGAGGAGTGTATTTAAATGTGTCCGGGTGCAATGACTCTGTGAAGAATTTCTCAGTCATTAAGTACTCTAAAGATTTCAGTCCCTTGAGCAGATCTGGTGAAATATCAGTATAATAGTTGTCGTAAACTTTGAGTACAAGCTTCTTCAAGTTAGGTAAATTTGAGAAAGGTGGTTCATCATTTTGTTGAGAACTCTTTTGGTTCCAGTTAAACATAAGATGTAGAGTCAGATTTGCTAATTTTGGTAGTCCTCTGAAAATATCTTCTCTGTTCTTAAAAGCCGAAAGACCAAGAGTTTGGAGATTATCGAGTCCTTCTAAAGCCCCGCTATATATGTTGTAATATTTATCTGATTCTAAATCCAAAACACAGAGGGAAGAAAGATTCATAAAGTCTCCTTGCATGAACATTAAGCGACCATTATTGTGCAAATTCAAAGATTCTAGTTTGTCCAAATTAACCTTGAAGGTGTTGTCCAAAGTAAAAATAGAGTTTCCTGCTAGATTAAGGATTTTCAAATTCTTCAGGTTTTGAAAAGCACATTCTTTAAGTTTTAAAATGTGATTATATTCCAGATTAAGTCCTGTTAATCTTGTCAAATCCAAGAAGTCATAACAGTCAACCTCACTGATGAAGTTAAAGCTCAGATCCAAGATTTCCAATGTGGAGAGTCCTCGGACTGCAAGTGGCAGTTTAGACAGTTTGTTACTCTGCAATTCCAGACTCCTGAGCTTTGTCATTGATCTGAGTGAGTGCTCAGACAGCTCAGACAATTTATTATTAGATAAAGCAAGCTCAGTAAGCTGAGAACAAGAACGTAGTAGGTTATCATCTATGGTGACAATACTGCTAAACATTACCTCAAGACTTCTTAGAGAAGGGATTCGGCAGGCGATGTCTATGAGACCTTCATCTATCCACGCCTTCATAGTGTCCATCTCAAGTTTTTGTAATGAGTCAACTCTCTCCAGCACCGCTCTGTACGCCTCAAAGCTAATATACGTTCCACCAAAGAACAAATTAGTTAAGCTCCTCAGAAAGGTCTTATTTGCTATATCCAACTCAATGTCACAGCTACACTTGCCAAAGGATAGATCCTGCAGATGAGGAAAGACGTCTTTCGTAATGCTGAACCTACTCAGTGGGTTCATATCAAGCTGCAGAGATTTGAGGTTTGAGACATTAAAAGGCATGTCATCGGACTGAAAGGAGGTGAGGTTGTTATACACAAGGGACAAATCAATTAAAGTCGGAAGTTTTAAGATCGGAACAATGTCTGCAATTTGATGTAACTGGTTAGCGGACAGATTAACTGATCGTATGCTGTGCAAGGACTGGAAGGCCTTGGGGGAGATACTTGAGATATGGTTGCAATACAAATCTAGTGTCTCTAATTTGGACAGTCCTTGAAACATGTTGTCTGTCAGGTTTGTGAGTTGATTAAAATCCATGAAAAGGGTTCTTAACTCTACCAAGTCGGCAAAAGCTCCATCATTAATGTGTGAAATCGAATTGTAATGAAGTTTTAAGGAGAGGAGCTTTGGAAAACATCCTAACTCTTTTCTGGTGATCTGTGAAAGGTGATTTGAGCTGAGATCTAGTGATACCGCATTTCTGGGAATGTCATCTGGAATAGTAGCGAGGTTTTGCTCATGGCATGTAACCCACTGATTATTTACATTTTCAGAAAAGAGAATGGTGCAGTTTTTCAGTGAAAAGGCCAGTACAGGATGAGGATGAAACAGTAAAGACAGAAGCAAAATAAGGAACAGAAGCCAACTTCCCTCAGCTCGCATGTTGAACTTCATGTTCACTTTCTTCAGTAACTCAGAGGTGGAGAATATTTTTATTTAATACTGCACATCTGAGGAGGGCGAAAGAAAAAAATAAGAAATAAGGCATTACTCAAAAGAGTTTTGGTTGGTCAGAGATGAGATTGATATTTGTTGTTTTGAGTGAAATATCTCAACAACTATTAGATGAATATTAATGAAATTTGGCAGACATTCATGTTACAATTGTTTGTTTTGTGGCTAAATACCTCGCAAAACCAATGACATTCATTCTGACCATTGTGGTAACTAACCTGCTACATAACATAAACAACAGAATGTTAGCATTGTCATTGTGACGTTAGCATTTGGCTTGAAGCTTCATGCCTCCAACAACAAGCTGCTAACTAACAGTGTCGTTGTAAATACTAATAATAAATTAATAGAAAAATCAATCTATTGTTTTCATCTTTGCCCAGAAGTTGTTAACTTTTGCAACATATGTACCTCATGTGAGTAATTCCATATACTACTTAATACTTCTGCTTCACTACATTTGAAAGGAAATTTGCTAATTTTTTGCTTAATTCTGTGTACTTCACAACTAGTTTCTTACCACTTCATTGATTGATATCTTACATAAAATATTTGAGTGATAATAGTTTCTAAATACACTGCATTGCTACAGAATACTGTAAATAAATAAATAAATAAAATATACACTGTTACAGCATTCATGTGGGACCATTTTCCAGCATGAGTATTTTAAGTAAATTTTACTGATATGGTAACACATCTACTTTAACTTCTCCATTTAATTGAGCATATTTACCTTGCTTTATTTCAGCTTTTACCTAAATAAATGATCTGAATTATTCTTTTACTGAAGACCTTCACGTACCTTTAGGTCACATAAGGAGCAATAGTCTCTAATCATCAAGTTCAGAAGCAAACTCTTCTCTTGTTGGTGGAGGAAATCAGTCCTGACAGCAGGGAGGGAATAAGAAAAGAGTTACATATGTGAGTGACATGGAAAGTTATTTTAACGTGGCAATCTGAAAGTCATAATAATAAATGCACCGTCAGTATTTTTCAAAGTAAAACTATGTTTGTTTGCATACAGACAAACTTACCAACGTTTCTTCAGCCAGGTGTTATCAGTTTGTGAGACAGGCAGCGTCTGATTCTCGCTAACATCAGTTCACACTTTTTGAGAAGTGAAAAGAGGAAGTATAAAACAGAAATAAAGGAACTTCAAAGCGGCATCATTGACCTGAGGGCCTCTCTCTAATGTAAACATTTTAGATGTAGAGGAAAAAAGTAAGTTTTTATATTATAAATAAGGTTTGAATTCTCTGTCCATTTTATGTTTTATATGAACTTAATAGGCTTTAATGTTTTCTTCTCATTGTTTTAT